TAGAAGATGCCTCTGTCACCAGTTTGACGGTTCTCTCGACTGCCACGGTTTGAGAGGGGAATTCACTAAATTTCCATTCCTCTGCAGTGTCACCCGACAGCCCTTTTATGAGTTCTTCGTTAGAAACTGAACAAAGAACTGGTGGAACAGTCAAGGTAATAGTCTCCCAGGTAATCATATCGTAATGATTATTAGCTTTGAAATTCAGCTTTGGCACTTTATTACATCTAACCCTTCCATTTACAGTGTCAGACTCGGCTTCTCTGCCTGCCAGAAGACGGTCAAGGGCCAACTTTCTGACTTCTATCCGTTCGTCAGTTATCATAATAAGGAGAATGTTTTCTGGAAGAGCAAAGAAAGCATTCTGTTGAATGGATGAWTCGACAACCTTGCGCAGTTTAGCAGATAAGTCTCTCGACCTTTGAATTGCAGAATTGAATCTTTGATTGAACTGTTGAATCTTATTGAGAACCGTAAAGGTGAGTAAACTGTAAGTATGTACTTGACCAAAATCTTTATTTCCTTTGTTGGGTTGTCAGTCAGTGGATCTATTTGCACAAGTGAGTCAGCGAGATTTGCACATGTTACCTAGATGCATCGATGCTAAATCTGAGGAACATTGACCGGAAATAACAGCTTCTGATATTTTATAGAGATAAGCTTGGTCTGTGCTAAGTTGGGTCGAATTAATAACCTCAGAAGGTAATTGACAGGATGGAAAACTTTCAAATTTGACAGCAGGCAACTTCTCACAATCAGGGATCAGTTTACCTATGTCGCCAGAGAATGTATTTGGACTCTTTGAGACACCATCTATKTGTWCGAMAAGAGCACGAAATGGAAGTTCGTTGAAATGTAGAAGACAAACAACCCTCTGTAATGGCCTACCTATTCTTTCTTCTAGTTTCCGAATGATTCCACCTTTCCAACCTGTGTTCGTGTTGGTGCCATCAGCRCCGACAACTTCTAGATGTTCCACATCAACTGAATTGTCTTGTAAATGTTGCCATATAGCTTGCGTCTCATCCTCAGCTGACCCGGAAGGAGAGGTGATGTGGCCAAAGTAATGGCAACCAGGTTCCGCTATAAAAGAAATATGATCCTCTTTGACAGTGTCGCGGTAGTAGTTTTCACCTTCGCTGACTTGTGTAAGTATAAGAGCTTAACTCCAACACTTTTTTTGCCCAACTAATGTTGCATTTGTCAGTGACAAAGCTAGCCTGATCCTCTGTTATCAAACCTGCTTTTTTGTCATCCAGAAAAGCAAATGAAACAATCAAGGCCGCTGCTCTATCACTTACTCCAAATATTTGGGCAGCTAAAGCAGCGTGTTCTAATACTAGTGTGTTTTGTTTAGTTTTAGAGGATGGAAGAAAAAATTCATCATCAGCAGCGTTTCTGGAAGAATCCATGTGCGACGCACCTACATTGTTGTCGTCTGTATGAGAGTCTGGCTGATCTGAAGTACACGTGTTCTAGCTGATACTTTTCTAGTAAGCGTTGATGTTTCAGGTAGATCAACACTTCCAATGCGACCAATTCTTCTGGTTCTCCGGTCCAAGAGAAATGGTTGTTCATTGATAGGAACTTTCCTTTCCTTTGGACAAGTGCAAGAAGAAAAATAAATAACAAGCAGCGATGTCAAGAAGAGACAAAGTCGTCTCTTTTAGAGTTCAAACCAATTGGGTTCCTTAAAAACATTTGTTTAAGAGTCAGAAATTTCTTATGGTATGTGGTGAGCATTTGTACAACTCTGGTGTGTGAAACTATCGGATTAGATGACTTTTTGAAAGTATTTTCAACCTTTTTTGCAACTATTTCTGTAACCTCTTTACTCCTAGGTTCATAGTTGTCGCATCGGAGTCGCCCTATACGAAATCTTTCACACTAATAACACAAAAGAACATCAAGGTAAGTAGGTAACTGGGCCTCAGAGAGATTGTACGGATATATGCCAAACATAGGACATTTATGTCTAAATTTAAATTTAGATACAGACATTTTGAGTTCTGTATTCTGTTGAGAGAATATAAGTGAGTGTGAGTGATAGCACTCGGCGAAATCAACGTGAAGAAGTGTGGTCGCAAGCCGATTTTCACCTTGCGCTGTGGCGCGCCGCATTTTCGCTCGTATCTCGGGAACGGTTCGTCCTATAGCCATTATCAGATATACCATTTCGGTAGCAAATGACGTGACGAATAGCGCTAGGTAGACAATTTCACGATTTTAGGCGAATTCCGAAATTTCAAGGCCGGAGTTGGGGTTGAAGATGCAATCCGATCTCAAAACAAAAAGTTGCATTGGAATCAGGAAGTACTAAGGCAACTTTTCAGCACTATTAGAAATCCCGAATCGAAAAATATCCGGAATCGACCCACCCTAGTGACTATGATGTTCCAGCAATTGTAATTGCTGGCTTGCTTCTCAAAAAGTTGCACACACCGCACGATTCACAGTAGACAATGACTCAAGTAAAGTTTCTTTTAGTGACATACTTACAAACGTATTTTATCGATTTAGTAAGATCCATGTGTTGTTAACTTCGATATTCACTCTTCTAAATTGAATGCAGAATGTTCTGCCATAGCTATCAGGTATATCCATCACTTCCAGTTTGTGTTTCCGAAAGAAAAGCACGTGGGAGTGACCATAAATCATATTGATTTCACTTCATATAATACTGAATCTTCCCCCGGATCAGGAATTTCCGCAGTAATGATTTATCAACTTGATCTGGTGTAACCACCATCCACCATCCAATGAAGAATGTATGTGGGCGTCACACCTCTCTTTTGCCACTCAACAGAGTACATCTAGTATAGAATATCGTAAGTGTTATTTGAAAAGTTGTCTTTTGTGAAACACACTTAAAGTTTTCACTGAATAATTTTTCTTTTGAATAGCCGGAATAAAAAAGCAAGCGACCGAAACTAAGCGATTCAAATAATTCACAAAGCAAAATATTGAAAAACAAAACAAACAAAAATTTAAAAAAAAATGTGTATAGAAAAGAGTTACTTTTTGGGACTATCCAATTTTCCGACTTTTCCTCATGAAAATTATAAGGTATTTTTATTTTTAAACCTTCCCCGATGCACAACAAATAACCTCTGAAAATTTCATCAAGATTGGTGCAGCCGATCTCTTAGCTAGGGCTGTGTTTAGGGGTTTCCCGGAAGTTATTCGAAATTCTCTTGCCGTGGAAACCATCCTTGAACCCCAACGGCCACATTAAAAAAAGAATTATCAAATTTGGTTTAGTCGTATGAAAGTTATGAGCGTACATACATTTTGGCGATTCATTTTTATTTATATGGACGTAGATTATGTACATACATGTAGTGTTTATTTTAATAAAATAGTATTTGTAGTATTTTCAATAATAAGAGTCAAACTTTTCCGAAACCACTTATTTATTTAAAATTGTTTTGGAACACGCTGCTTAAAATACTATCTGAACTTACACTGGCCTTTAGCGAGGCGTCTTACGCAGGCGGCGTTACAATTACCTATATAATGTTTTTTTCTATGATGGACGCTAAGCTCTACGACCCACAACTATTTTGCAATCCACTATTTTGAATGCACTTATTCGAGCATCGAATGAGTGGTTGCCCATTATTTATAAGTTAAGATAAACTTTAAAATGAATTGTAATCCTACATAAATATATATAGTATATCCACCAAAATCTTTATTAAACTACTCATTCTGATATGCATATAGAATATATATTTTCTTTATATCTATAATTTTATTGAAATGTTACCTATATAGGTATATCTCTTAACATCCTCATAATTTCACTTTACTTCAAATAAACCTCTCGCCTCTCGTTTGAGTGTCTTTCCATTGGCATTTTGCGGCAGGCGATCGATGAAAATTACTCCAGCATGCAGTTGTTTATAATCTACTGGTAAGCGTTTTCTGACATGATCCTTTACTTGCCCTATCGTAAGTTSRGCACCTTGGCGAAGCACCACTATTGCACCGGCCGCATCTCCATGCCTCTCGTCATACACACCAACAACGCACACATCCCCCACCTGCGGCAATTCGTTGATCACCCGCTCTATTTCGCCTGGCCAATATTGCATTCCCTCATATTTCATTATATCCTTTTTGCGATCGACTATATAAAGCAAATGATTATCATCGAAATAACCGAGATCCCCAGTATGTAACCAGCCATCTGAATCTTGYACACGTTTCGTCTCAATTGGATTWCCATAATAWCCACTCCAAATATGTCCMTTRTTCACYARAATCTCACCAACTTCGTTCCGTGGCAAATTATTKCCCTCATCGTCAACAATACGTGCCTTAACGCCATAACTTAATTTTCCTACAGAGGTGGGATATTTATCATCCGAGTTCAACGATATAAAGCCCGATTCGGTACAGCCATAAGCATAAATTACTTTGCCGTTTTTAAGTAAACCTCTCAGTTGTAGCATAGTCGATTGACTAATGGAGCCACCCCCAGTTAAGAAAGACTGAACGGAGTGCAAGTTATCTATGGTGGCAGCTGGGCAAGCGACCAAAGCGGAAACATGACGTGGTGCACCAAATACGAAAGAGATTTTGTGTTTCTTCACCAACGCAATCATATATTCTGGGGTGTAGGGTTTATTGGTAATTACCCGTTTACAACTCCTGGTCGCAGAGAGTAACGTGAAGTTAACACCTGATATCCAATCCAAACCGCTGTTCGAGAAGATGACATCTTCGCTGGTTACACATCTAAAGAAATAAATATACATAGTATATGTAAATAGAAAAATATTTTCTTAAGTACTTGGACTTACAATTCATCCATGTTCAAGGTATGTCTTGACACACATACACACTTGGGTACACCCGTTGTGCCAGATGAACAAAGTATTGCTACCGTCTGCTCACCGCCCAACACGAAGGGCTCAGGCCTGTAAAGAGTTATAAGTCAGACAGGTCATAAGTTGAACTTGAAAGCTTAAGCTGCACTTACTTATAATGATCTTCATTTGGCATAGGACTCAACAAGTCTTCGACTGTGGCAACGCCCTCAATATGTCCAGTAAGCGTGTAGAATAATGGATTTAACAAACGAGTGGCTTCGTGTAATTTCTCATAATATTCGCCATCACAAAAAATTATTTTCGGTTTAGTGATTTGGAAGACATGACAGATTGTATCTGTAATTAATAAAGACGCAGCAATATATGCGTACCCTTAAGAAAGCACAAAAATCTTCCGTTACCTTTATCCAAACCCGAGTTTACGGCATGGAATGGCGTACAGTTCATAAAGCAGCCGACCGCAACAGAGCTTGTATAGGTGGTGTTTTTTGCCACAATGCCGATGACATCATCGTGTCGTAGACCCATTTTCTTGAAATGTAGCGCCAGACGTGTAGACCAGGTTAGTAGTTCACGATTGGTAACTTCGCGGCCGTCAATATCCGACACCTTAAATAATCAAAGGATTACCGACCGATCTGTAATGCTATCTTAACCGAAGTTAGTACGAGGTTATCAATTTTGTCGTTTTTCATTCATGCTTGATTCGTTGGAAACTTTAATCCTAAAAGGGACTATATGACAGCTATAAATAACCAAAGTAGCAGTATTACAGAGAAGAAATATACGAAAATAGTACAAGTAGGAACTGCACTACAATTACTAGGCATAGTAGATGAATAGAGTAAATCGATTCAAGAACTGCCGGCAATCGATTCAGTAACCAGTAGAATGGAATGTTTTCATGATAAAGCGATATAAAAGATTTAAACCGATGGCATACAAATTCCATAGCAATTTATACTTCTCTAGTATATACTCTACTCAATTGTCATGAATACCAACTCTCTCTTTTAAATTTTGGAATCAGGGCACCACATAATGCGAAACAAAACATTTTGTTTCCTCGTGAAGTCTAAATACTTCTTCCACAGTCGTGTTTTGGGTACAGCATCAGGTTATACAAACGTATGCTGCATGCAATAGGTCACTCCAAACTTTATCCTCAACGTTGCATGCCCTCGCATATCTATTTAGAAAACACATCTTTTCTATTCCCATATCCCAACTTCATCTAAGCAGCCAATTTCATCAACCAATAGATGAGGTCTTCTAATTTCAACCACTAGAGAATGACAGAGATAGACTCTACGCATAACCACAATGAGAAAGTGATTAAACCGTTATGCCATCCTTACTTTTAACTGCAGGATCCTTTTATAAAAACTCGCACTTATTGTCACATCAAAATATTTTGAGGACGGAACTCACTTGGCAAACTTTGCTTGGATAATTCTTCAAATTTCTATAAATAATATCGCCCACGGAGCAATTAAAATCGTGGAACAACGGTGACTTCGGACCAGACCACACGCACTTCTTATTATCGTAAGAACATTCTGAAGACTCCATAATTCGACTACAACAAATTTCTTGCTCCGGCAATTGCAAGCACAAACGATATTAAATTAACTAAATCTCAAATAATTTATTACTTCCTTAAATACTCACCAAATGCTAAGGAGGCTTAATACGTTACTTTGAGTTTGTTACTACTAGGCATTTAAGAACTGGTTTGCAACCCACTGTGGATATGAGGTAAAGCGCACTTTTCAAAATCTAACAGCTGCGCGCCAAATAATTGACATACGAAGTGTTTCCGAAATTCTTTGCATGCTTTTTCGCTCTCCATTTAGTCTCAATTCATAAAAATATCAAAATGCGCCCGCAAAATGTGAGAAAAGCGCGGCCAAAAACTTTCGTAGACTGTTGCGAAACTTCTGTTGATTGCGATTGATATTATTATACATGATACGTTCGTTGTGATGACTTATAACCTGTATCTATGAACTATTAATAGAATATGTATGTTTGCCATAGTTTTATTGGCACTTTTAAATTTTCTTAAGCACCTGTTGTGCAACGCAACTTAACAAATAAAATATTCAAGTGCCATAAATAGCAATAACAGCGATCCAACACTCACAAAAGCAACCCCCCATGAAGTTAAGAGCCTAAAAGTCTTTGAAGTATAGTTATGAATAATTAATTATTATTATTCATTAAAAAAAGGGGTTTTCAATAGAGACGCTACAACAGTAAACCGGTAAGGACAACAAACGTCGGCATATTAACGGGAATAATAGATATATAGAGTTTGGTATTTGCTCGTCGAGAGAGGACTTTACTTCTCAATTGCCTACTTAGTCCGATGTAATTAGCTGCTGGCGAGAGTTATTCGGCGTTGGATTTCGAGGCTGACGTTATTGTTGGTGTTAATACCGATTCCAAGTAGCTCACGACTTTCGGTCCTAGACCAAACATCCTCTGGGTAGCCAAAACACATCCGATTGAAGACGCGCTAAAGTAGGAAAGCCATTCATTCCTCCCCAGGCTTGTGCGCTTGCGCTGTTGTGTAGTTTGGGACCCGTCACCTAAAAAAATTCCCCCCAATGGAAAGGTATAACAAGTATACTCGAGATGATATTGCGTTAAAACATGTTCTCGAGTACACATGAGTAATTCTAAACGTTAATGCAGTCAGTACAGATCTTCCCCAGTTATAATAAACGTGATTTAGTAATTTCCAACTGCTTTGTAAAAGCGTGATTTTAGTATAAATATTTTAAGCATGAAGCAAAATGTAGGATATTTCGAATAACCTTATTATAAAAATAATGCCTTTTAGCTATTGTGACTCCTAAAATTTGATAAGGGTGTGGTTGCCATTAAATTCTACGTAAGCTTATACGATAACAAATAAGATATCGGTAACTACGAATCTACATAATATTATCCAGCCAATTTATCTTAGTTGTTATTTTTATCTAAGAGAATTTAGGTCAATGTTTTTACTTAGACCAAAACAGTTCTATCCAACGTAATAAACAATATTTTTGGAACAATTTAATCTTTAGTGCCTTAATCTTTTAACCGTTAACCGAGTTTACGATTAGATTGCTCTCTATATCAGCAGATCAACAATACCAAGGCAATTTTAGAGTCGATCTTAATACTTTGTTTTGGAATTATTGGGTGCTTTTCTTATTACTTGCGTCTGTTTGTTTTTTACTTGAACTTTCCACCGTAGAGTCAAGTGTCATTCCCAAGTATTTAGCGGAGTTAAAGTACGGTATTCCTGCACAGTCTATGAAAATAGGTAAATCCTCTATCTTTATACCCTGAACAGGGTATATTAAGTTTGTCATGAAGTTTGTAACAACCAGAAGGAAGCGTCGGAGACCCTATAAAGTGAGTATATAAATGATCAGTATGTTGAGCTGAATCGATTCAGCCATGTCTGACTGTCCATCTGTCCCTCCATCTGTCGGTATATATACGAACTAGTCCCTCAGTTTTCAGGATATCATTTTAAAATTTTGCAAACGTCATTCAAAGTTCTTGTATGGAAAACTTTTGCATTTGACAAGATATATTYRCGAAATTTGGTACAGATTATTTTCTAAGGCAACATTGTATTATCCAAAGCAATTGTTCAGATCGGTTAACTATAGCATATAGCTGCCATACAAACTGAATGATCGGAATCAAATCCTTGCATGAGAAACTTCCTCATTTAGCGATATATAGTATCTTCACGAAATTTGGTATGAGTTATTATTCATAGAAATAACGTAATATCGAAAGAAATTGTTTAACGCGGTAATGTTGGTAATTTTTACGTCTAAATTGCAATCGCCAACGCCAGCAAAAGCATCAACCTTGAAATCCAATGCAGAATCACTCTTGTTAACAGGTGCTACTTCGGACCAAACTCTATAAGCCACTTATTATTCCCGTCCTGCTATATGGTGCGTAAGTATGGTCATTGACAGAAGTTTATTAAGAATGTTCGAGAGAAAGGCTCAGCGAAAGATTTATGATTGTTTTTGCGCATTGGCAACTGCGAATACCGCAGTCGATAAAAATATGAGCTGTACGAGATATACGGCGACATTGACATAGTTCAGCGAATCAAGAGACATCGACTGCGCTGTATGAAAGAGAACAATCCAGCTTTGCAAGTTTCCAATTCAGTACCGAGCGAAGGAAGAAAGCGAAGAGAAAGATCTCCACTCTGTGGGAGAGAAATGAAGAAACAACTGACGCGTCGTTGTTAACTTAGCTATAACTGCGTAAGCGGTGTCTATGCCAGCGAAGAAGAAGAAGAATTTTACTATACTTATTGGAGACAACTATTTTAGACCCTCGGCAGTAATCAATCATAACCGCGATTTTCTTTACTGTAAACAGGGAGATAAAGTATTAAGTTTCTTGTATTGGTTATGCACTGAAAATGCTTTGCGAAACTTTAATTTTTGAACCTTTATTATTATATTTATCAGCTGGGCTAGGAGTTTGATGCCACAAACGTCGCAGCTTTCGCTTTTTGTTAAATTATTTGTCTTATATCATTGGGATAGTGGGAGTTTACAGAATTTTCCTTACTTCCGGTGTGCTATTCCAAGCTGCATATTGCATACTTGTTGCAAAATATGAAATTTAATCAGTTTTCGACAAGTGCTCGCTCTGAGAAGTCGTGTTTCGCTCTTTACGCATTGTTGACATTCTGCGCATCGTAMATTTTCGGATACGTACACGTGTTTACATTTAGAAATCTTCTTGTATTCTTTCAATCCATAAGTGTATTGCAGATAAGTGCATCAAGTGTGAAGATTTGTTTAATATGGCCCCCGGGTCGCCCAACCCCGGGTTTGCATTGCTTGCCTCTGGATCCCAGCCAAAAAGAAAGAAACCGACCTACTCCCCCCTCAACTTTCCTGACCTGCAGCAGGCCAAGAAAGAAAACCCGAAATATATTCTCATTAATGCAGCGGACTCAAACAAGCCAATTGCGAAGTATTCTTGCTTCGCTGTCCACAAAGCCTTARAAGCTATTAGCAAAGAAATCATCTCAATTTCTGAGTTGCGTGCTGGTAATCTTCTGCTGCTGGTAAAAAATTGCCAAAAGTTCATTTCAGCCAAAAAAAAATCCTGGTGTGTGTGAAATTGAAGCGAAATACCATGACAACCTCAATAGCGTGAAAGGTACAATCTTTGATCCCCGTCTCAACAATGTCAGCGAGAAAGAGATTATAGAAAACATGAGAAGCCAAGGTGTAGTCGATGTTTACAAATTTACTAGGCGGACGGAGGGAGTACCACTACCCCAACCCACGGGTGTAGTTTTACTTACCTTTGATCTTTTTGAGTTACCTGAAAAGTTAGAAGTATCTTGGAGAAGTGCAAAAGTAAAACCCTATTACCCCAACCGAATGCGATGCAAATCTGGCCAACTACTTGGGCATACCGCGAAACGATGCAATAAACCGTGTGTGCTTCTTGCAGTCTTCCTATTCATTCTTTACCTTGCACGCGCACACTATGTGCAAACTGCTCAGGAGATCAGCCATCCTCTGCCAACACTTGCCCAAAATATGTGCAAACGAAGGAGATACTAAAAATAAAATGTCAAAATAAATGCTCCATGAGAGAAGCAATTAAACTCTACAAAGCACAATCACCATCAATATTGAACACTTCTTTCGTCGTAGTTGCCAGAGAAGCACAGCTGCCAAATAGTAACGCTAAGTCAACCTCCAATTCTCTTGATATACCTACATTATCGCTCAATCCAACTCCTATCAATATAACGCAGGTTCACCTGCATTCTCAACAGAGACAACTGATACCTCCGTTATCAATCTCTGTCTCACGCAAAACAATTCATATGACAAAGCCATCAACGGTGCTCTGATCATGTCAGTAGACGATCACTAAGTATTCACCACTCTCAACATAGCATACAAACACCTCCTTAGCAACCTCTTCTAGCAACAATGTTTAATATCCTACAGTGGAATATGCACGAATACTACAACAAATTTCACGAATTGGATATACTAATTAAAGAATACGCTCCAAGTTTTATTTCCCTTCCGGAAAGTCTGCGGCGGCGCCTAATCAATACCAAAGTTACTTTTACAACTTGCCTCAAAATCTAATTAGCAAGCAAGGCATCGCCATTTTAATTAAGAAGTCCATACCACACAAACAAATCCCTGTATCTTCAAATACAGCCACAATAGCAATAGAAATCTCATTATCTTACCAATTTTCAATTATTTCACTTTATATACCACCTTCACAAAATTTTTCTTGCAGCGACCTAATAAATATTTTTTGGACGATATCCACGCCATTTATAATCGTAGGCGATTTCAATGCGTGGAGCCCTCTTTGGGGCTCTGCCACC